CATATCTCGTACTTTAGTTCTCGCCTAAAGAAAACAGAATGGTCTTTTCAGCGCTTTGTTTCCTGTATCTCCAGAAGAGTTTGCCATGAATCTTTTTCCCCCCCCTTTTTTTGTTGTTGTTGTTTTCCCGTGGCTATAAGCACATTCTATCTCTTTCATCTCTTCTTGCAACCCCTGTGGCAGTTTTGAGGTGTAATCGCAGATAAAGGTGCCCAGCGGCTGGTTGTCCTGAAGGTCCTTTGTTATGTTAGGCATAGTTAATTATCCAGAAGCTTCTACCAGACAGAGACTTGGTCTTTTTTTTTTCTCCTCCACCCACAGTAGTTGCTCGCCTCTGTCAGTGCGCCCCAGGGTGGCTGTGGCTACAATGTAGCTTGCCATCACCAGTGTGTGAATGTATGTGTGATGGGTGTGTAAAGTGCTTTGGGGTCCTTAGGGACTAGTAAAGCGCCATACAAATACAGGCCATTTACCATTTTTACACTTGTATGCAAAAGTTTGCTAATTGTATATGAAATTAATTTAAAGTAAACACTGGTAGTGCATAAACATGTTTGCAGCAAAGCTTGTTATTTTGACTTAAAAAGCTAACTGAATTTGGCCTGGACAGACTGAACCTTTGTCTCCAGTATATCTGAGCAGTAATTCTGCATAGACAAGCATACCGACAGGCAAGGGTCTGTATTGTATTATTTATTTTTTTCCCCCATTTGAAGCTATTAAAATGCATCCACAACACCAGACTGTCAAACTCACTTGAATAAATGTTTGAGTGTTTAAGCCTGCCTTTCAACTGTTGGAGAGCAAATTACTTATTGGTGTTTTATTGTATTTTTTTTGTTATTATTTTATTTTATTCTTTTATTTTTTTTTTTAGGGTTGAAAGATGCTTTATCAGTACAGGTTTAAATTCTAGTTTAACTTTCTAATTGCACTTACAACTAAGTCATCTTATCTAAATGAATGTATAAATGGGTCTTTTTGAGTAAACAAGATAACTGGAAGGAAGACTTCAGGAAGCAGTCCAAATTTAGAGACTAGAGCAACAGGTCCCTCCAATAAATACAGTAAGAGAAAACACTCAATTGTCTCAGGACAGTGGAGACTAAATTTTCTCATGACTGAAAAGCAAACATAACAGAAAACGCTTCTTGGGTCCCATTGTTGCATGGCTCGCCCCAACAGGTTGCTGGCAGACACATTAGAATGCCGCACCGTGAGTAAATATTGGAAATTGGCATTTCCTCTGGGTGATGCGTCCGGAAAGGTCAGCGCTGGGCGGTGGCAGCTCTGTGGCTCTGCCTCTGCTCTGTATAATAGAACTGAATAGCACTCACCAATGATGGGACCTCACCATCCGATCATTATTTAAATCATAAATTGTGTGCTTTGTGTTGAGTAACAGAGAGAGCTTTGTTCAGCATCCTGCACTGTCATTCTTATTGCCACATTTCCTGTTTTTTGTGTGCAGTGGATTGGAAAAAAATACATTTTTGCTTTTGTTTGGATTGTGATGTGAGCTTCTCTAGAGCTACAGCTTTGATGCAAAGGAAAGAAAGAGCTACCCATTCTTTTCAAACCCACATAAATGTGTAGTACACTAAAAGTCTTGTAAGGCATTGTTACTGAAGAGATTCAATTAGCAAACTAGAATACTGATCTGGTACCCTTTGTCCCCATGTCATCCATTGTTTCACCTTTCTTTTTCTTTAAAAGGTACTTCAAGAAGTGAAGGGGAGGCAAAACTACACTAGAATCTTTGACATTTCTGCCTGTACTGCTGGCTGCTTTTGAAAAGATTTGTCCTTCTAGTTTGTCCTGAAAAGATAACCAGAATTGTCTCTAGTCCACCTATTCTTGATTTGCCATCTCTCCACAGTAGCTGGCAAGGCAAAGTTGACTGTCCTATTAAATAACTGTTTTTAATTTCAGTTTATTCACTAATAAATTAAAATACAAATTCCAATATGATCATGTACCCAACATTAGATTGTCTTACTAACCTAAATCACTAAATCTCCTACGAATAACATTAATCCACTACATCCAGTGAGTGGTACATAAAAATCCTTACGTTTTTTTATAATTATAAAGTTTTGCAAGATCCTTGCCATAAAGGTTACATAAAAAGGCTTGTATGCAATTTTAGAGCAGCACACACACAAGACAAAAATAGGCAGTGGTGTGTTCTAATAGTTAAAAACTCACGCAAGAGCAGATTTTGTTGAGTGAACCGTTTCAATAACAGGCTAGATTATTAACTTGACTACCGAGGGAAAGTGCTTGCACAGCCTGCAGATGCAATAACATTTAGGTTGTAAAACTACACCTGAAGTATTAATTATTTATAGCATAAAGTCTAAAAGCAGAGATATGTTGCCCTTTGATCCACCTGGTTTTAGGGAAGCGTTCACGTAACAGTGCGGGTAGTTATTGAGCTACCTTAGTTTTACCACCTGCATTTATCGCACTTCTATTTCCATTTGCAGCACCCAAACAATTCAAGGTGCTCTTGTCTCTTCTTTTTGCAACTTATGTATTCACATGTCACAGTCAGAGCAGCGTTGCAGAGTTTCCTGAGTGCTAAGTGAAGCCAGCAGCTGAGCTGAGTATGAGCACAAGTGATGCTTTCACAGTGCCCTGCTTCCAGCCATCTGAATACTTCCCCAAGCCTTCATTAGCATGGCTGCTGCATTCAGCCTCATCCCAGGTCTTTGCGTTTGCATCTCTCTCTCTCTGTTACTCTCTGACTTAAATGCCCCTCCCAACTACAGTTGAATCCTTTCGTCTACCTTCCTTTTCCCCAGTTGGATTTCTACTTCTTATTTACTCCTCCACTCTGTTCCCCCTCTGGCTCACTCTTCATCCCTGTCTTTTCTCCTACTTATTTTTCTTTTTTCCCCTTGGCTTCTTCTTCTTCTTCTTCTTCTTCTTTTTTTTTTTTTAAACCTTCCTCTTTCTACCATTTTCTGTGGTTTCACAGCCTTGTATTAGTCCTCTGCTGTACAATGATCATCATCTCTTTTTCCATACCGTTTTTAATAGAATGTCAACACTTAATTTGTCCTCTCTGCTTAGCCTGTCCTATTAGTCAGCAGTAGATGTTGATAATACAGAAAATGGGAATGTTTTTATTAAAATGTACATGGAATATCTAAAGAACTGTCAATAAATTGTAATTGTAGATGCTTTAGGATGTTTGTGTCTTATATGTAGATGAAGTCTATTTGAGTAGTTAAAGGATGCGTTGGTTGTATGTTCTATTCTGCTGTGGTGACCCATCACGTATGAATGAGTACAGTTGTACTGGGTGGGATGGTGTTTAAATTCATGCATGCATGCATGGCTGTATGGCTGGGAGTGAGTGCACTATACTCAGCGGTGCACTCTGTTCTCCCACTAGGGATACTGATGCGCTCAGCAGGATTAGACGCATCATAAGTCCTAGTCTGTTTGAAGTGTCCAAAAATCAGGATCCTACTTATGTTTCCTCTTCCTCCCTCCTTTGATACAGAAATGAAAACGGGGGTTTTGTTGCCTTTGGTTAGGTTGACGCACTTGAGGAGGAGTAAAAGCCATTATAGCCAAGTGGGAGATACCCCTATGCCCCACTGTGTCATTTGCATGCTTATATACAGTGTTTCTTGTTTATCCCAAGACATGCAAGCACTCGTTTACACTCGTGTTCTTTAGCACTGACCTCACAAGCTCTGTCCCAGAGAGCTTTTATCAATTAAAAGATTGGCCCTAATTATCTCCATTTCACCTTTTCTGTGCGCTCAAAATTAACAGCTGCCAAAGGACTCCTCCCTCTGACATTTTTAACAGACATGGTCATCCCAAATATTTTCATAGATATTTTGTGTTTGGTAGATGATGTTGACAATTGCCAGCTTTTGATTGTATAGAATAGCCAGTCTGATTGTCGCTGACATGCTAGCTGTGACTCAAGTCACTGTAATGATCTGATGTAAAGCATCGGAGCCCCATCAGACTGCTTAGATCCTTCACTTGATGAGCAGCCCAGAGTACTGTGGCCTAATTACTCTGGTAGCAGGGGGCTTGTTTAGCAAACCAGGTAGAGCCCAAGTGTAATTACGATGCTATAATTCAAAAAGGTTGCCAGTGCTAAACAGAATACATTTTTTGAGGCTCTTCACTTTGAAATAGCTTTTATAACTTTAATGCTTCAGTGTATTCTTTTTTTTTTGTGTGCTCCTGGTTGGCTTTTGATAGGCCTTGGGAACAAAAGTAAGACTTTTTTTTAAAACTTGCATGAACCTATGGTCTCCAAATTGCTTAACTGTGCCTTTTAAGGTTTCTCTGCACCATTACATGCCCACTCACTGATTAGACTGTATTTACCGAAGCCTGTTTGAGTGCTTTTCCAGCCCTGAGAAGTTTATTTGCACTTTCACGCCTAAGGTCATTGCTTAAGTCGTTGGCATGAAGGTGTTTTCAAACTCTTTTCTTCTAAGAACTCAAATTACTGAAGGCAGATTTTGAAAACAATCAATGAACTGTGCTTGGGTTTACACTTTCAGTAAAAAAAAAAAAAAGACTTCACACAACATTCATATCAACACTAATTGATTGACAGCAGTGTTTGCCTCCTACTAGAATTTGCATTCTGTGTGACTTGATCATATTTAACCTTGTGAAAATGAGTTATCTACCAGGTTGTGGGCGTGTGTTTTTCATTTTTGCTCAGAGCACTTTCATTTTGTGCGTGTCTACCTTACCTGTCACACTGCTACTATCGTATTCTAAGGAGCTTGGAAAGAAAAACGTCTGGACTCGAATGAGAGGTGAAACGTCTTCAAGCAACTTAAAGAAGTCCAGACGCTTTTCTTTCCAAGCTCCTTAGAATACGATGACCTGGATGACTGATAACCTTCACAGACATGCTACTATCTTATCCTGATAAAGCTGAACATAATTGCATTCAGTCATTCATTGCATGTAACCTGTATATGTGTGTGTCTCTCTCTCTCTCATAGTGTCCTGACTCGAGCTGTAAGCAGGACCTGCACGCCTACCTGCAGCGTATTGCCTTGTATTGCCACCAGCTTAACATCTGCAGTAAAGTCAAGGCCGAAGTTCAGAACCTGGGAGGAGAGCTGGTTGTCTCTGGGGTAAGTTCAGCCTTTTCATTTTATCCTCAAGCACTTCAAGTTGTATATTCCAGTTATCATTATCTTTCAACCTCACATCGGATCAGGCTGAAACGAGTGTTGAACTGAGTTTGAGTTTGAGATCGGATTTTTGTTTTGAGGATTGCAGGCTGGTAAAACTTGGTGACTGTGATGCAGCTTCAAACGTGGCCAAAGTGGCAGTAATTGAGAAGAATGAAGAGACTGAGTAGTGGTGCAAACTGTGCAGGTTTCAGGAAACTTGAGCTGCTTTGTTGTCACTTTCATTGGATAATCAATGTAAACAGAACTGCACTTGTGTATAGTGAAATCTCAGAGGAATGCCTTTAATTTCTACAACAGTTCTTAAATCAATAGAATCCCACAGCTACTTTTAAAAGTTTTATTATCTGTTGTTGCCCAAATAAATTAAAAATACAGAGGCTTAATGACGCCGGCTGCTGGTTGTGATTACTTAATGATTTATTCTCTGAACTATAAGTTGCAGCTTAAATTTTAAATTTTAATTGAATAAACACATAACAACATTTAGTGGCTTTCTCTGTGCTGGAAAGGACTAATGTTGCCCTGATGTTTCCTAACCTTTTTACTACCTCAGATAGCACTTTGTAATAAAAAGAAATTACAAGTCCTTTAAGCACTAATTAACCACTTACTTGCCAGTTAAATTCATTTAAATATCTGTGCAGGGAATAATGAATTACTTTCTCCTTTCTGTTGGGCAGAAATGAGAATATCCTTCTACTACTTTGAGTCAAGTGTGAGCGGCGTCTCTGGGGCTGTTAAGTGTGGGGATTAAATTGGTGTGACCTTTTTACATATTCAAAATTTTGTCACACGTGTTTGTATTTCAGACAAGGGACTGGTTGTTAATGCTTTAGTCTGAACTCTTCCCCACAAAACTGTAGAGATGGATTTAGTTCACTTTTAACTTGACATGAGCTTAAAAACGATTTAATCAGCCTTTGCTTTTATAATTTTACAAAGCTGACCCTGTTCTTTTTTCTCTTTTTTTTTTCCCTGCCCCCCCCTCCTCCAACATCTCCTCCACCGTATCAGTTGGACAGCGCCATGTCACTCATTCAAGCAGCAAAGAACCTGATGAATGCCGTAGTGTCCACTGTCAAGGCGTCGTACGTCGCGTCTACCAAGTACCAGAAGAACAAGGGCATGGAGGCACTCAATATGCCCGCTGTTTCCTGGAAGATGAAAGCTCCTGAGAAGAAGCCTCTGGTGAAAAGAGAGAAGCAGGATGATGGCCAGACCAACAGAGTCAAGAGATCTTCTCAAAGGAAGCACGTGAACCCTGTGCAGGCTTTGAGTGAATTCAAAGCTATGGATAGCATCTAGACCCCTGACCTCCCACCCCACACATTTATTGTTTAAAAATAACAAAGGATTTTGACCAATGAGTTTTTCTATAGATTGAGCATGTCACTCTATCAAAGAGAGAAGCTTTTAGCATATTTCTTCTATCTTTCCATAGACCGCTTGTCTGTTTGACCCAATATATTCCTCCACTGCCTCATTTTTATTCCACCAGCTCAAATGTACTCTTGTCTAGTATCAAGTGTCTATTCTTCAGAAAGGGAAATCAACTGGACAAAGTTATTCAGTAGGTGAATTTAATGGATATGGGCTTGTGGTTATTTTGTATCCTAATCGGTTTCAGAATAAAACTGTGGGGTCTCCAGGTTGTAAGGCTTGATTACGGCAAAATGTGTTCTGTACTGCAGATATCAGCTATGCAAAATTTCAACTGCCTTATTTTTACCTTTAGTCATAACTGCAGTTAATTTGGATGTGGGAGTCTAACTGGTAGGATTTAAACATGTTTTGGTTCAGCCAAGTCGAGATATTTCCATGTGTGCCTGCATTTTTTTATGCCATTATGTATTTTGTTATGACACTATAAAAAAAAATCAGACCAACTTTAAACTTTATTGTCAGCATCGTACAATTTGATCCATTTGTACCCCTTGATTGTCAAAGGATATTTCCTTTTAATTTAACCATCTCAAATTGTATTTGAATGAGTTTTATTGTTACCGTTATTGTATTGTCTTCAGAAACCAAAGGTGACGGTTTATTCTTACCCTTCTCTTTTGCTACATAACTGATCTACTTGTGTGAACCTACACTTTAAGGCACAGGTCTCCAGTAGTTGAGTCAAACTTTGTTAATTAGCAATAACTCCTCTGTGTTTAAGAGAAGCCAGTGGGCTAAAGAATGAATACACAGTTGTTGGTACTGTCCAAAGCCCACAAGCTTTCATTAGCTGTCAATGAGACCAAACACCACTGCATTCTCAACATGTCCAAACTGAGGGATCAATATGTTTTTCTCTTCACATCTTAGAAGTTGGCAAGGTATGGAAATGATTATCTGCCTCTTAACTCTTATTGTGTTGCTTGTCCTTTAAACTAATTAAGATTTTATATATAATGCACAGTCTTTAAGAAAACACACAACCGCTTGTTAGACTTTACAGAGTTCAAATAAAAGCAGAAGTTGTTAGCAGCATGGTTTGCAGACATGTATGGTGGTGCATTGGTTTGCAGCAAGGCTTTTAAATCTTGCTGTTTTGATCTTGGAACTGAATTTGTTTTGCTCATTTGACATCTGTAAACCATAGCAGGATGGGCATGTTTTTTAGGGAACAGAGCATTTTGAGTGTTTTTGTTATTTAGGGGTTTTTTTTCCCTCCCTACTGTTAACCTTTTGCTGTATTTGAGTCTTGAGTTGATATCAAACTACATTGCTGTGGATTGTTTTGTTATTGAGAGCTGACGTATTAGTGGACACTTGGTAAATTTAATGTGTCTGCTTTATATCTTAATAAACTTTAAAGTGAATCCAATCTGTTATTTTGTAATTTGTCTTTGTACCACTGCCGACTAAAGTAATGTGCACTGCTCAAAACAATTAAATAAACACTTTGAAAACAAATCAGATCTCAGTGGGAAATGGATAATGCTGAATATCTGTAAGCTCTGGGAACAAAAGGATGTTACATCATTTGATGGAAATTAAAATTACCAACCTGCAGACAGCTGAACTCAGACAACCCAAAAATCAAAGTGGAAGAATATGAAGCCAGTCCATTTTGCTGAAATTACTATTGCAGAATTACAAATTGGTAGAGTAATTTGCAGGATCCCCACATGCTTATATGCACGCTCTTTATCAAACTGTGTCCTGGTCTCCCACATCTGGGCCAGAGCCCCTGGATACTCTTAAGTTGCCACTTGATAGCATTGGTGGACCGAAACATATCCCAGAGGTGTTCTACTGAATTTGAGTCAGGTGAGGACAGGGTCCTTTATCCTCCAGGAGGTGCCCACTGATTCAACATGTGAGGCTTGGTTTTGTTGTGCACTAGGAGGAACCCAGGAACCACTGCGCCAGCACAGGGTCTGACAATTTCATCCTCGATAACTAATGGAAGTCAGGGTGTTGTTGCCTAGCCTGTACATGCTTCAAATGGATTAGCCTTATCAGACCATTACTGTCCCTCTGATTGTTTGGTTAGAGACTTTCACACCAGTGTTTTGTTGGAGGTCATTTTGTAGCTCAAAGTACTCATCTTCTTCCTCCTTGCACAAAAGACCAGATATCAGTCCTGCTGATGAGTTATGGACCTTCTATGTTCCTGTCCAGCTCTCCTTGATTAACAATCTGTCTGCTGGAGTCTCTTCCATGTTTGAGGCTTTGCTGGGAGACACAGTGAACCTTCTGGTACATATAGATGTCCCATCCTGGACGACCTGTGCAACCTCTGTAGGGACGAAGGTCCAGGTTTCGCATCATGCCCCTAATAATGATACTGACCCTAACCAAAACTAGTGGGGAAAAATGTGAGGGGCCTCCACCTGTGAAACCATTCCTTTTTTGGGGGTTGTGTCATTGTTGCTCCTCTAGTGTACCTGTTGTTAATTTCATTAACACCAAAGCAGCTGAAACTGATTACCCCCTCTGATATTTAACTGACCAGATCAATTACAAAGTTTAACTAACATGATGCTACACTCTGATTAACACATGTTCCTTTATTTCATTTTTATTTCTCCCCTCACTTGAACCATGCTTTTCTTACATGCTTTCCCCCCTGTTGTACCACTTTTAATTTGTTTTGTAGTAACACATTATAGTATGTGGGGGGGGGAAAAGCCCCGAAGAATAATGTTTGCTCTCAAAACAAGTTTTAGCATGCCGCCTAATGTGCTGCTCTGCATAATTATGCTGTACGCCTCCCATATAGACTTCATTATTTTGCAACATGCATTGGTTCCTGCTGCTGTTGTTTATTAAAAGTGCAGCTTTTAACATCAAACACTTTCTTTAGCCTGGTGCTGGTGCTTATTAAACAATAGCCAGTGAAGTTGGACTGCAATATGTGAAGCAGCCAAAAATTTACATTGCTGCAGTAATCACACATCAGAGTATATCTGGGTCATTGTAAGGACACTGAGAACACAAAACCACCTTTTTTTAAAATTTTTAAATCTGAAAGTCAGTTTAAGTATGGTGATATGCAAGATTGTGTGAGTCTGTCAGGTTTTTTTTTTTTACTGTACCTCATTTAACTTAATAAAATATATAGTTTCCCAGAATCACTTAGAAAAAAACCCCCAAAAATGGATGCAGTAAAAGATTTTCATATCACTGATGTTTTTGAAAGCTGCATTAGGAAAGAATACATATTTTCCAGCTCCTTCTATAAGATTTGATGTGAATACATTTACTTAAAAAAAAACAAAAACATTGGCAAACATGGAACATTAAATAGAAAGACTAAAAAGGTTGATGCATGGTGATAGCTGGAAAATAAATAAATAAAAATCATTTGGCGCACCTGTTCAAAACAACAATCAACCAATCTATGCCATTAAAATTAAGGCAGTTCTGAGAGAAAACGGGGGTCCAATCTCGAACTAGCAATGTATAACTAATGAAGTGGGCAGTGAGTGTACATCTCAGTTAAAAAGTTATAAATGTAACTACATAAAAAGTGTCTAAGTCAGCATAAAGCCAGAGTAAGACTTAAAGTGAGGCCGCTGCTGTGTATCTACTGACACACATTTTTCCGCATGGGTTGGGATTAAAGGTCTTTTGGGAAAAAAAGACCCCCTGGGCAAGATTATAGGTCATATAATCCCTCGTGACCGTGTGACGTGTTAAATTTACAATTACGGTATTTCATCTCACTGCAGACAACAACATGATATACATACAGCTGCAGGAAGACCCAGCAAATTGGGTCAGTGCTTCACACATTTGTACCTGGAACTTTCTGAAAGGTACAACAAAGAACAGCAGATATGGAATAAGGATATAATGAGCTTTTGTCACAGCAGACATATTCGCTTCAGATCAGGGAGAAGCATAGGTGGAATTAATGAGAGTAATGACAGCCCAGTTCCATTAAGCATCCCAGGAAAGCTATTCCAACTGAAGATAGCCATCGTTCATTTTTGGTAGCTGTGGTATCTCCCACTTGGTGAAAAGAAGACATCTACAAACTGTCACAATAATGGCTGCGAATACCCCACCGTGGGCATCTGCGTCAAAGTGAAATACAGCCCCCGCCATAAGATGAACAGTGACACGATGCTCCCAACTTGTGAAAGTCAGCAGTGGTTTAAGAAGAAATTTGTGAATTAACCGTTTCGCAAATGCAGGATTTTTACACAGTCTCCTTTAAAAAGGACAGGAACTGAAGAGCGCTGATTCGTTTCCAGCTTCAAGCGTGCGCAAAGGGTAACGTCTGCATGCTGTTGTTGCTTCAGCAGAGTCATAGGCTGTATCCCAATTCAGGGTCTGCAGCCTTAAAGG